AATAATTTTCGGGAAAAACTCCCTGATTAATTTCTTAAGGTTTTCGTTCGCTTTTGTTGACCTGAATATCCACCGAAAGTAAATTATTCCCACTTCTCTCAATTTCTATATAGGGATTTTTATCACTTCCTACCAGCGGAACAGCGCCATCTCTGTGGAAAATTGTCGAACAAAATGATTAATTGTATGCGAAGACAGTTATCAGTCCTCTTCAGCTCCAGTTAAATGATTCTGGAGCTGGTAATTTCCATTTTTTATCAAAACAAATTAAAAAAAAACTTCCCGGTTGAAAATATCACAGAGTGGTTTTGACTCACTCTGCGCGTTAACTTTTTTTTTTTAAAGCTTTATTAAAGACATTTTTAGCCTTAGGCTAGTTCATCTCTAACTGCGCGTTAACGTAATTTACTCAAAAGTGAGGAAAAGTGTGCCTGCCCCGCTGAAATGAGAATCTCTTCATTCTTCATTCCTTTATTTAACGTCGGTCTTTGTTCCGCAATCTAGTGCCAATCACCGACGGACATCGATTGCCATCCATTGACGGCAATCGAATGTGCAGGAACACACATGAGCCGGGACCAACGGCTTTACTTCCCTTCCGAAGGAAGACGTGACCAGAGATTTTTATGCTTCAGAAAAATCCCACCGACCTCGGCTGTGATTTAACCCAGACTCATTGGGGTGAGAAAGCAGTTACGCTTACCACAATTGGGTTCTTTAGGGGTATTGAGGTAATTGCATATTCGTAATCTGCATTACAAATGGAATCGAAATCCAAAATTTCATCAATTTTGGAGCACTGGAACTAATTGAAATAAGTGTGATTACATAAGCAAAAATCAACATCTTAGCGCCCCTGGATGGTACTTCGTATGGGAACGAGCTGTCAGTTTGTTAGTTTAGTGTCAAACGGTGAAGTGATTATTTTGCTTTTAATCTTGATTTAAAAATTCAGATGAAAGTAAATGGGATCGAAAAAAAAAATCATTGTGCTCAGAAAACGACGCCCTTTCAGATGATGTATGAAAACCGGCATATTTTTCAAAATTAAAGAACCCAATTGTGCACCCAGTAAAAATCATAATAAATCACTCGATTTTCAAAACGGCCGATCAAAGCAATTTTTCAAATCATTTATTGGCCTGAACGCTAAAACAACCAACCAATTATTATTTGGGTGTTGTGTGCTGAGATACAGATATTATTGTCATACTGAACTATAGAAAAACGAATCCACTTTCTGGTTTGTTTATATTTTGGTTGTTGGCCCTTTTAAAATGTTACGCAAGATAGGAATTAAAATGATTAAAAAGGCCGAGATTATTTACAATCCACTTTCTGGTTTGTTTACATTTTAGTTGAAGGCCCTTTTCAAATGTGAACTGCTCAGGGTCTTAATCGAAACTGCCATAAAAATCTGACATTTTCAGGGATCCATCTGAGTTTCGGACCAGTCTGGAAATTCTTGTGGAAGCACATCGCATCTGCTCTTCAATACTCTTGCATTGAATTGTAATCAGGTCTTGGGAGTTAATGATGTTTTGAAGATGCATCCAACTTCTTGCTGCATTCGATGCCAAATTAAATTCTTGATGGAAATGTTTATAAGTATCAATAACTTTCCAAAAAAACCTAGATTATTGTAAAAACTTATTGTTCGCTTTCCGGCTTGCTTGGAGCTGCAACCTGAGTGTGACCATAGAGGTAACTCTAAGACTAGAAGGTCCCGAAATAACGTGCTCAACTTTTTGGCTCTGCTCTGGTACTCTCTTCGGTCCCCAGCTAATCGATTCACCCCTCGAAACATAGGAGAAACCAATAACCCCTCATTTTATCTGTCAAACTTTCATAGCGAATCAAAACAAAAACTGCGTAGTACTAGAATTTCGACTAGAATGGGATACGTTAACCGTTTGCTGGGACCAATAGGCTAGTCAAGTAGTGAGCCAATTTAAAATCGTTAGTTTCGTATTGATTGTTGGTGTGACTCCGATGATGAGGAAACATTATTCTGCATCTCGATGTTTGATTCGGATTTTAGTATCCAAGGGAGTTCAAATCAACAACAGTGAAACATAAATTATTATTTAACTTTATTAGGGAGGCTTTCAGCCTTGGGCTGGTTCGCCTCCACTGTGAAACATAAAGTCTTCTACTGCTATAGACTTCTCTGACGTTTGTAGAATGCACAAGTACTCGGGGTAAATTATAAGTATTAGTGTAAGAAAACCTTTGAATTTACCCAAAGTTCTGCACTAATACTTGTGCAATTCACAAACGTCAGAGAAGTATATTCACACTTTCAAAACAAACGATGTTAAATATCTAGTTGAAGATTTCAAAAAGCCTTAAACGAACCTTAAACTCGAATTATTGTCAAGAAATAAATAAGACCTTTTGCAAACATTCACTAGAAGATTCGGGAGAAAGATTCGCTCAGAGAGCAAGAGAGTTTCTCAGAGTAACTCTAGATTGCTCTAATGGTGGTAAGCTCCAACCGGTATTATACCCCGTTCACATTACAGCGTATATCACGTGATATACGATCCCGCATAAACGTGAACCATAAATTGACCTTACCTAAAATGGTTAAAAATTGTTTATAATCCCTGCTAAACTTTAACTGAAATGGTTATAGAACTTTACATGAACGTTTAATGATAATGTTTCAACCTTATGTATTATGGTTTTTTGGAACTGGACCTTACAAATAATGGGTTGTTAAGAACCATTACCATTCCAAATTCTTGTTTTCTCCATACATTTTCAGAAAGAGAACTATATAAGAACGTTTTTTTTTACTTTTGATTTGAGAATATTAATGGTAATGGTTATGGTAGTCAGTAAGGTCCATTAATGGTTTTGTATTATCGCTCAACTTTACGTGGAATATATCGTGAATTGGTAATCAGTAAATTACAGGCAACCAATTCGCGATATATTCCACATAAAGTTGATCGATGTTACAAAACCATTCGTGGACCTTACTGACTACCATAACCATTACCATTAAAGTTCTCAAACCATAAGTTAAAAGGTTCTAATATAGTTCTCTTTTCGAAAATGTATGGAGAAAACAAGAATTTGGAATGGTAATGGTTCTTAACAACCCATTATTTGAGGTCCAGTTCCAAAAAACCATAATACATAAGGTTGAAACTTTATAATTAAACGTTCATGTAAAGCTCTATAACCATTTCAGTTAAAGTTTAGCAAGGATTATAAACAATTTTTAACCATTTTAGGAAAGGTCAATTTATGGTTCGCGTTTATGCGGGATGTCTTGCAATGAGCACTCATACATCTAGTTTTCACTGGAAATCCTATGTATGAGTGCTCATTGCAAGACAGCCTATATTACGTGATATAGGCTGTAATGTGAACGGGTATTATCCTCGGATTAAATCCCGATCAAGAATGTCAGGCTGGTTTGATGTCGACAACAGAGTTATTCAACACAACTCAGATCATCCAAACAGGGACGGTATTAAAAGTTAATCCGAGTTGGAGCTTACCACCATAAATGTTTCACTGTCCCCCTCTCGAGTGGAACTACTCTAAAATGAGTAAAGGGTGATACGGTCAAAATTTGGTCAAGGGAAAACGCGTGTAAATCGGTGAAATCGTTTATTTAAAAAATCAAATTAAATTTCTTTTTCAAGTTCAATTAGTATAAAATTCAGGAAAAATATTCAGTTAGGCTTCGACTTTTCCAAATCTGAATTGCCGGGCCTTACGCTTGACCCCTGCCATCAGATTTTGTACAGCCACCTTGTCCACCTTCTCCGCCGCAGAAAGCCAGTTTGCCTTGAACTGCTGCTCGCCCTTAGCAGTTTTTTTTGGTCTTCTTTAGGTTCCGCTTGACAATAGCCCAGTATTTCTCAATTGGGCGGAGCTCTGGCGTGTTGGGAGGGTTCTTGTCCTTGGGAACCACCTGCACGTTGTTGGCGGCGTACCACTCCATGGCCTTTTTACCGTAATGGCAAGATGCCAAATCCGGCCAAAACAGTACGGAACCACCGTGTTTCTTCAGGAAAGGCAGCAGACGTTTATTCAAACACTCTTTCACGTAAATTTCTTGGTTGACAGTCCCGGAAGCTATGAAAATGCTGCTTTTCAAGCCACAGGTACAGATGGCTTGTCAAACCAGATATTTCTTTGCGAACTTTGACAGTTTCATGTGCTTGAAAACATCTGCTACCTTTCCCCTTCCTTTTGCCGTATAAAACTCCTGTCCCGGAAGCTGCTTGTAGTCGGCTTTGACGTAGGTTTCGTCGTCCATTACCACGCAGTCAAACTTCGTCAGCATCGTCGTGTACAGCCTCCGGGATCGCGCTTTGGCCGTCGTATTTTGTTTATCATCGCGATTTGGAGTCACTACCTTCTTGTAAGTCGATAGTCCGGCTCGTTTTTTGGCTCGATGCACGGTTGTAGACGATACACCCAGCTTATTTGCGGCATCTCGGAGAGAGAGGTTAGGGTTTCGCTTGAAACTACCGGCAACTCTCTTTGTCGTCTCAGCGGCTTCCGGTTTTCGATTTCCCCCCGATCCAGACTTCCTGCACACAAAGAATTATCATTAATAAAATTAAAAAAAACATTGGTAGAATTAAAAGTTTGCATTGGTTCTTTTTGGTAGAAAGTCATTAGCATTCAAAACAAAAGAGAGCTAACTGTCAATTCAAAAGTTATCCGCTCCCTACTTTTAAAAGCTGAAACTTTCAAAATGAGTTGTACAACTGTCAAACGAAAAGCGTGACAATCTGAAATTAAAGCGGTCTATTTTTATTTAAAAGAAAAACATTTTTGGCAAGAAAGTTTGGTAAATTTGATTACATATGAGCTGCTTTTAATGGAATAATCAATCTTTTCAACATTAAAACACAATTTTTCATTTTAAGTACTATTAATTAATAAATCAAAATGTTTCATTAATTGTTATAAAAAAAGTTGACGAATATATTTTATTGATCCATAAATATCCATAAATGTATGTTTATATGCCGTTACATACGGGGCATTGGCGAGCAGCAGCAGCTGATTCTACCTTCCCAACGTTCCTCCGCTTCCCATCACCGGAACTCTTTGTAACTACTGTGGAAATCAACCGGTATGGCAGAGAGATAACAAGAGGCTTATTTTTTGGATGAAACTAATTGCTGCCCGAACCGAACCACCACGTTACGCTGAATAAAATGATGTTGAAGTGGCTGCTGCTCTGAAAAATTAATATTGTAGTGAACTCCATATGGTACAAGTTATTCAAAATACTCACTGTTTCAGAGAAATAGTTTTGATCGAAGTTTAGATGTACGCTAGGATGTAGGTCATGTTCAATGGCTTTGGAATTTTTTCAATCTTCGCAATCTTGGCAGGAGTAATATTATGATAACCATCCGGACTAAAGCTCAAGTTTCGTTGGCTGAATCTGAAATAAATTCACACATTGACTAATTAGAAAAACACGAACACGCAGCTCTCCCACTCCATCTCAACTCACCAAGAATAGATTCCCCTTTCTGATTCCAGATGAAAATGCCACTCATCATCGTCAGCAACTTCCCACTCGGCGACTATCAATATTGTTCCGCATGCCGCGCGCTCTGTGCCATGTACAAAATCTGTATGTCGTTTCCACCCTAGTCGACCAACGGATACGGTTTTTCCCTTAATATTTATTGCTAATATTTCCTGCAAACCAAACCAAAACTTTCAAAAAGTAACTAACTTTTAACTAGAGATTTGCAACGATGTTTCGAGCGCGTAAATTGACATGCAGGCCAATGAGTATATAGAGAGGTAAAGCAGATTGTGAAATATTGTTGCTTACACGGAACCGAAAAATTACCTAAAATTAAGTTCTTTTCACTCATATCCCATGTTCCGTTCAATAAGCTAATTTTCAGTAAACCGCTTAAGGCCCACGCACATTAGATCCGGATCGGACGCGTTGCGGCAAAATGACAGCTAAATCTATTGTCTAACTGTTAAATTAACGTCAACGCAACGCAAACGGATCTAATGTGGGTGGCCCTTTATAGTAGTTTACATTTGACTACGGCAAAAATAATTACTTACTCGTGAGTATTTTCCACCAAATATTAAGTTAAATTGACTCAAATTTGAGAATATCTCATATACTCACTAGTAGCTTATTGAACGATAGTCATGAGAAAGTCGAATCTCTCGTTCCGTTTTTGACAACAACAAAAAGTGAGAGTGGGATACAAAACTCAAAATTACCCAAAATTAAGCAAAAAGAACTTAAATTTAGGGTAATTTTTTTCTCTGTGTAGCAAACTAAAAATAACGTAAACGCAATTATTGACGTCACTATTTGCTTGTATCATATAGTGGTTTAACTCACACAACTTAAAAGATTGTTTCACCCCGGTAATCCATCTCATTGGTGGCAGGCGACAAATGAGGGCTCAGTAATACGTGTACTTTTGACAGTTGAACAAGTTTTCTTTTAAAAAAATTACTTTTAAAATTACATGTTGCAAGTGAAAGAAATACTTTCATATCAAAAGCATAACTTTCATTTTGAATAGTTACGTAGTTGAAATACGAATTTTGGGAAACTTTTAATAAGAAAATGCATTATTTTCATAGCAACAATTTTTGTTCTTTGTGTGTGGCTGTCGACAAACGTTCCCCAAACACTTTAATTACATTTGTAACGGTTGATTTGGCAACTTTTAGCGATTTTGCCAACTTTGCGTGCGAGTAGCTCGGATTTTCGCGATGCGCGAGCAAAATTTTGATACGCTGCTCTTCTTGCTTGGACGGCATTTTGACAACTGAAGAGTGAATTCCAAAATCAAAATAGGAGCAACATTCTACACACACACACCTTCAAAATGAGGGGTGTTCAGGTTTTTTAAATGCAAAATTGAAAGAAATACGTCAAGTTGATATTGACCAAATTTTGACCGTATCACCCTTTAAACCCATAGTTACTCACTCTTGAGTAATGAATGCATTTGTCAAATTTAGAGTAACGTCTACTCAGTTCTGGATTTTGAAAAATAAGCGAAACTGAGTAAATGTTACTCAGTTCTTCCAAAATGATTATTTTTGAAAATAAGTAATTGGGTTTTTTTCATTTAATACAATGTTAGGATCATAAAAATACCAAACGTTTTTCAGTCAAAAATGATCATGCAATTATATTTTTAATGACAATGCAAAGTAGTTTTAATTTGTCCACTTTCTGGATTGAGGAATATCTTGGTAAAGCCCTCTCGTCGACTGGGAATTGGACTCCTGAAATGGAAGGGATTTTGATCTATCCACACGGCCACGAAATCAGTTGAGAGACATACCATAGGCGATGGGATGTAATTGCTCCACGCAATTAATCGATGGCTATAGAACGAATCTCTCTCTAATTTGGTAGTATTCCATATAATGACTACCAAATGAGAGAGAGTGAAAGAGATCCGCCCTACCTTTTTTTTTAAACAACATAATAATTTTTTATGAAAAAATTTTTATAAAAAAAGGGTTTTGTGGTACACCGTTTTTGTAAACTTTTAAGCATTGGTACTCAGTACGGAATTCAAGATCGGTGGAAAACAAATCAAGGAAAAAAAAAGAATTTCTATACATACTTCCAAAGTTTGCATTTTTCATTAATTAAAAAAAAAATTACAAGGAAATTTTTGGTTATTGAAGTTATTAACACTTTTTTGAATTTTTGACACAAAAATACTAGAAAATTTTACCGTGTATATTTTACTAAGAAAGATTTGTTTCCTACAGCTTTATCTCAGACGTCATTTCGATTAAATGTGACGTTTTCGGTCTGATTTATAAAAAAAATGCCGAGCCTTATATTTTGGAAAAAAATGCATGAATGGCCGAATGGCAATAGGAGAAAATCGAGTCAAAAATTCTATTTTTTTTTTCTTATTTGGTCTGGAACTGCTCAATTGTTATCAGAATTCACTGGGAATGCAAGGATGTCTTTGAAGTTCTTGTCTGAAATTCCTTGAGATACTTATGTGGATATCTTTGGAACTATCATTTGCATTGTTTCCAGAAATCCTTGGTAATTCCGGTTGAATTTTCCTCAAAATATTCTCACAATCCCCATGGAATTCTTATGAGAAGTTCTGATTCAGAACAACCTTGGAATTCTTCTCTAAACTACTACCAATATTCTCTAGGATTTCTCCTCAGTTTTATGTAAAGAATCTCCTCTTGGCGACTGCTGTCAACAAATATGATATTCCTTTGGATCCTTGGATAGGCTTTTAATCAACAAAGTACAAAATGCTACTCAGTGGTGACACAGAGTTCAATTTTCAGTTGACTAAATGACTTTTCTTTCCGAGACATGAGTCCTGTCCACATAATTTTCCATACAAAAAAGTCTTTATTTTCCATTTTCTTTTTTTGTGATATGTTTGCCTTACGTGTTTGTGTGTTGATTTGTGTGTATGTTCGTGCTGCTCTCTATCGGGATCCAAACAAGTACGTTCCGCTTCAATTTTGAACCGTGTTACACAATATCTAACCTCACATGTGGAATTTATTTTAAGTTTTACTTTGACTACTACAAGTATATTTTCAATACCCTATCTCAGATGGAATCAAAACCGAAAAACGACACAGTGTTTATTATTTCTTTTCGATCGATAAAATTCAACGTATGTACATAAATGGAAACCCTCGATTTGACTACGATTTAATATTTTCTTCTACTAAGTGTAGTTTTTACCTATAACAAACTTTACCTTACTACTTGTAATCAAGTAGTACTCTGCGCGAAGAATATGGTACTGTTTAAAAAAAAATAAATAATGTTCTTTTACTTTCAATAAAAAAAAATAGTTTATAATTTCAACGATAGTGAACATGTATCAGAAAACAAAAGTTAAGCACAGCGTTTTGATTTATTTGTCGCCGCTGTTTTAACAATTAACGACTATTAAAAATTGTTCAAAACAATAAAGTAAAAACAAGCTCCAAATCATGTAGAAACAATCCGGACCCAATCCTAGAGGAAGAACGTTGTTGTTGTTTGTTTGTTGATTGGAAACTATGTACTAAATACCGCAGTGCAATGGCGGGTGACGGAGTTTTACAGCTCGTCGTGCTTCGGACCGGAGAACTCGTCGTGCGAGATGAATCCGTTCTTGTCCTTGTCCTCGTGCTGGAATATTTCCTCCACCAGTTTGTCGTGCTCGGCGATCATGTTCTTGATGTCCTCCGATTCCTGCCCACCGTCGGCGGCGACCATCTGCTTCTTGAGGTATTCGCTGACCTGCGTGGTGGAAATTAGATGTGTTGTTAAGATAGTTTTGAATGTGGTGTATATTTTACTTTTAAAAAGCATACAGGAGAAAGTGTTAAGAACTTCGTGAACAAATAATGCATTTTATTTTGTCTACAAGAACAGTCATACTAAAACTTCACGTCATAAAAATATCGGAAACAGATAAGATGTGAACTTCCAAACCCCCTAAAATGTTGATTTAGGCCAATATTTATTTAGTGTAATTGGCGAACCCCGGAAGGAACTAAAACCGAGACAAATAAGAACAAAACTTAGCGCCTATTTTTTTTCAAGATAATATCAAAAACGAACAAAAACACAAAGAAGGGCTTAATTTATATTAATAGATAATATCAAAAATGATATTGTCCTGGGTAACAAAGGTTCTATACTATTCTATTCTATTCTATATATTCTATATTTTGAGATTTGATCTTCCAAACACCCCTAAAATGTCGATTTAGGCCATATTTGGGAAGAAAAATGCATTTTGAGTTTTGAACTCCCAAACACCCCTTGAATTTCCATTTAGGTCATAATTACGAAGATAAACGCATTTTAAGATTTAATCTTCCAAACACCCCTAAAATGTTGATTCAGGCCATATTTAGGGAGAAAAATATACTTGAATTGTCACCCTTGAATTGTCGAATTAGGCCATAATTACGGAGATATATGCATTTTAAGATTTGAACTCCCAAACACCTCTAAAATATCGATTTGGGCCATATTTAGGGACAAAAATGCATTTTAAGATTTATGACATTTCTAGTTCGATCAGTTTTAACAGATTTCGTTATGAGAGCGTAAAGCGGACAAACAACAACACAAGGTTCTTAACCCAAATATGGGTGAATACGATTCATACATGAGTTAGTTTTATGATTCACTTAAATTCACCCATATTGGGGCCAAAAAAAAAAATACCAATATTTAGAATTGTCTACTTTATGCCAATCTAGGTTTACTTAATCTATATACACTATACAGAACCGTACACAGCAGTTGGTGAAAAATTCCAGAGGGGCGGAAATTTTTTTTCCTTTATTTGAGAGATTTTTAGCCATAGGCTAGTTCATCTCTAAGAGGCGGAAAATGTCTCCAATGTTGTATGGACATATACAAAGTTTCCTCTATCTTTACTAAATTGTCTCAACTTCTACATAGTTCCACCAACTTCTAATCAATGCGGCGCCGTTGGTGTAGTGGTAAGCGTGATTACCTTTCATCCCAGCAGGCCTGGGTTCAATCCCAATCGGCACCGCCGGGATGTTCTGAGACATAACATCTCTGATCACGCCTTCCTTCGGGGGAAGTAAAGTCGTTGGTCCCCGGTTCATGAGTTGATGGGTCGATAGGTAGGGTGTGGGAGCTGCCTCCCTGGCGTCGGTAGCATTGGTGCTCAGCACGGAAAACAAGATCGACGGAAAACAAATAAAGGAAAAAAAAAGCTTCTAACCAAGTTCCATAATTATTGTTATTCAAAGTTCTCCCAATTTGACCAACATCTCCTGAACCTTTTCTTCGAATTTTCCTAAACATCTGAGCGAAACAAAGTTCCGAAAAACTTCCAGTGAGTTCCTAAATTAAAAAAGTTTCAATAAGTATGCTGAACTTTTGCAATACTCTCTTAGCTTCTACGAAATTCGATTAACTTCAACGAAGTTCACTGAGCTTCTACAATTTTGTCTGTACTTCTGCGAAGTTCATTGAACTTAAAAAAATCCCAACTATGAAGTTTTACGAAGTTCTTCGAATTTCTACGTCATTCGCTTGACTTTTACAAAATTCTCAGAATTTCTATGATGTGCTATGAACAGCTTCAGTGCTCAACCTGTAAAATGTCTACTTTGTTTGATTCTTATTCCATTTCGATCCTTGTTTGGACCCTACCCGAGGTAATCCTGCTTGGATATCGATTTGGAAAATTCCTCTTCGATCCTTTGGCTTCTTATAGTAATCTGCTTGGAAGTCGATTTGGATAAAAAAATACTGCTGCCATGGCGCCTAAGCGCAAAAGAAAAGGGCAATCTCTTGATCCCCCTTCTGATGAAATTAATTTGTGCAATCAATTTGATTTGTTCACGGATGATGAGAATAATCCATCATTCAGGCAAAATTCCACGAAGCTTTCCCGGCTTAATGTCAAGAAGAAAAAGGTCACCTCTTTTGTGATAACCACTTGCGATTGCCATGCTCTTCGCATCAAACTATTGAACTTCGTGAAATTTAAGTTTTCACTGCAAATTGGCCGTCGGGGTGAATGCCGTGTACTGGCTGAAACCTTGGACGGATTCAAATGTCTTCTCAAGTATCTTACTAAGAAGCAGCAACAATTTTTTACTTACCACACCAAAACTGAACGTGTGTTCAAGGTTGTCATGAAAGGACTGCCCAGTGGTTTTCCATTATATGTTATGAAATTAGTTCAACATTATTTAACTCATTATTTTACTGCAGGTAAATTATCAAAATTCCAAATCTGAACGACTACCTGTTAGAGCAAGAGTTCATCGGGGTAGCGTTCTTGGGTCTATATTGTATAACATTTTCACTTCGGACCTCCCTGATTGCCTCAGGGTTATCAAAAATCTTTGTTCGCCGATGACACAGGCATTTCCGCTTTACATATTTTCAGGGTAGATAGGGCTCCTAAAGTTATGAAAAAATCCCCACGAAACATAGGGTCGGAAATGATTGCTAAGTGAGTTATTCAACATTTTATGTTTTTTTTTTGTATTGCCAACTTTGGTTAGCTATATTTTTTTAATTTTAATGTGGTTTTCTGATTTCAACATACCAAATGAAAGATTAAAGTTTTAGCTATCAATGCTTTCTAGAAAAGAACTCGATTAAAGTTAATCATCATACATTAAAATTGAAAAGTATGTTGAAAGTACCGAAAAAGCTGGTGAAATTTCATACATTTTAGTGTTTTAAGTTGAAAATTTTCATTTCTGTTTATTTAGTTGTTCTCCAAAACATTCTCCATGCAGTTCCCTAGATTTGTGTCTTTGGTAATAACCTTGTAGGCTTTATGGTTTCTTCGTAATTATTGATTTAAACTGCCATAACAACTTGTGACGTTTTCTTAAAATGCGCTATAGTCACCCTATTCGTTCGTACGTTGGGCTGTTGCAGTGGACTACGCACATGACAATTTGGTAGAATTTTATTGTAAATGTTTAGCTACATTCTTAACTTTTGATTACCGCACATCTTCTGCGCCGAAAGAAAACATAACTGCGGAGATGTTTCGCGGTATCGAATATTGCTCAGCCTCAGCAGAAAGCACAACGAGAGACACCGAATCGGCGAAATCTGAGAGCGGAAGGGAGAGAAGTAGGTTAGGTAGTGGTAATAAGTCGATGTCCTTTTTATTTCATAGCACTCGCAGCTCAGTGGTGCTGTTTCGGTGGGGAGCTCCGCTGCATCTGTATACACACTTAGATTTTTTTTTACAGGAGTTAGTATTTTTACTGGATTTTTGGATTACTGACTCGCTTAAAATTCAAATGACTGTTATTCGTAAAGATTGGATAAAATCGATTTATTTTTATTTTTCATCATTACACGGGGTTAACAGAAGTTAGTCTGTAAATTTTTGTAACACATTTTCTCAACTTTGAATTTTTCACAGATTTTTTAAATTTTACCGAAGAGTTCCGCAATTCAAAACCTCGGTAAAAATTACTGACTCGATAAGTGTGTACTGATGTATGGTTGGTGAAGAGGCTAGCATGTGGAGGGTATTCTCGGGCTAGTGAATGCCACCCATCCCCACTTATAATTCAGTAGTACACTATTTATTCATTTCTGTTTGATATGTTTACAAAGTTTGCAAACAGAAATGAGCATTGCAGTGTAGGTTGGAAATGCTAACATGAAGCCTTAGTGTGATGATTTATTAGCTAGAGAATGATCTTTAGAAGAGGGTAGGTGGATAGTTCCGTTAGAGTACGGCAGTATGAAAATTGAATAGAAGTTGAAAATGAGCGAAGGGCCATTAATGCGACAGTTTTTTAAGATAGACGCACATTTTTGCCAAACCCGTACGATGTACGCGGGGACCACGTTGGTCATGACGAGAGGAGCAACACAATAGTTGGGTAAAGAAGAACTGCATTATAACACACCATCGACTGGAAATGCTCTCGCAACGTGGGGCTTTAGGTAGTGATGAAAACGTCGCTAGAACTATTCCACAGCCGCAGTCAGTTTATGAGCAAAAAGAGGGACGCACATTTTTGCCTGTGGACTTGGAGACATACTTCAAGTCCCCGCGTACATCGTACGGGTTAGGCAAAAATGTGCGTCTATCTTAAAAAACTGTCGCATTAATGGCCCTTTGCTCATTTTCAACTTCTATTCAATTTTCATACTGCCGTACTCTAACGGAACTATCCACCTACACTCTTCTAAAGATCATTCTCTAGCTAATAAATCATCACACTAAGGCTTCATGTTAGCATTTCCAACCAACTCTGAAAATCGTTAACTTCGCGTATGAAGTAACATAAAAACACTTTGAAAGTGGATTGCAGTGTAGTTACCAATTTTCCAAGTCATAGACTTCAGATTACTGTTCAAAGTCGCAGATTTTTTATAACGGAATCATGAACAAAAAACCAAAGACCACTATGACAAACGCGATCGGTCTGAAGGGATCTTTACATAGAAATTGTTTTAAGGTGATACGATCCAGAACCTCGGGCTCTGGTTCCACTTCGCTTTTACCAGGAGGCCATTATCTGCTACCGGAAAACATACAATAACAAAACTGTGATGACAATTTAGTGCCTCAAATCACAATAGTGCCCGAGATTAATTCCCTAGAAAATTCGAAGTGGCAGTGAAAGTGCCTGTGGACGCTGAACCATAGCAGAAATCAGAAAACCACATTAAGGTGAAAGTTAATGCTTTTCCGTTGATACTGACTCCGCACCCGTTCGAACCACACCCAAATTCAAAATGCATCAATACCAACA